TGTGGTATGGTACCTTGCAGTACAATTTCAGAGAGATCCATACACTTGAACACAAGTTATTGTCTGGAAACTAGAAAAATGCTTATTTTTGGCCCCTTTTTGGCCCCCAATTCCTAAACGTTTCGGGCAATTACCCCCAAACTCAATTCCAGCTTTCCCTTTGTGATATGGAACCTTGTAGTACAATTTCAGAAATATCCAAACACTTACACACAAGTTATTGTCATGAAACTAGAAAAATGCTTGTTTTTTGCCCCTTTTTTGGCCCCTAATTCCTAACATTTTGAGGCAATTACCCCCAAAATCAATTACAGCCTTCCCTTTGTGATATGGAACCTTGTGGTACAATGTCAGAGAGATCCATACACTAACACACAAGTTATTGTCTGGAAGTTACAAAAATGCTTATTGTTGGCCCCTTTTTGGCCCCTTATTCCTTAACTGTTGGTACCATAACCCCCAAAATCAATCCCAACCTTCCTTTCATGGTATTGAACCTTATGGTAAAATTTCATGGAGATCCATTCACTTAAACTAAAGTTAGAGTGCGAAAACCAATGTGTCTTCGGACGACGCCAGACGACGCCGGACGACGACGACGACAACGACGACGACGACGACGACGACGCCAACGTCATACCAATATACGACCAAAAAATTTTCAATTTTTGCGGTCGTATAAAAATTGGTAAAAATTGTCATCAAAGGACAATAACTCTAATAAGGAATCGACTAACGATTTAGACAATGTGTAGACTTATTTGTAGAACTTGTCTTGCTGATCATTTTTGCGATTTAAAGTTTGATCTTTGTCTATTATAGTTTTCAAGATAATGGGCAAAAATGAAAAAAAATTTGTAAAATTTGCCATTTTAGGGCAATAACTCCTATAAGGAGTCTTCTGACAGTTTTGACGTATGTGAACAATTGGAAGAGCTCAACATTGTGAACATTTCTGCCTCTGTCAGATTTTCTCTATTTATAACTGCTTTGAAAATAATAGACAAAACTTGCATTTTACCCCTATGTTCTATTTTTAAACATGTCAGCCATCTTGGTTGGCAAGCGGGGTCATCGGACACATTTTTTAAACTAGATACCCCAATGATGATTGTGGCCAAATTTAATTAAATTAAATTTGGCCCAGTAGTTTCAGAGGAGAAGATTTTTGTATAAGTTAACAGACAACAATGGACAATGGACTGTTAAATAGAACAAAAAGCTTCTAAGAGCCTGAATCCCTCACCATGTAAAAATATTACAATTTTGATATTATTTTTTTTCTTTATTACAATCAGTAATCTTGGCTTATTTGTAGATCTTATTATGTTGCATTTTTGTAGGTTTGTACTGATGATAATATTTTACTGTTTACAGTTTATACCTATCTATTAAAGTTTTTTTTTAAATAAAAAAGGTCATTTATTGGCAATAAATCCTATATATAATTAGTGTGATAATTTGGCCATGTTGACTTTTTTGCAGACATTTTTTTCTTTTTTTAGGTTTCTCTCTTTAAGTTTCTCTCTAACTCCAGATGTATATTTTTGACATAAATGGATAAAAACCATGAATTTTTATTAGATCTGCAAACTACACCTTTTTATAAAATTGAATTTGAAGAAAACCCTCTGACTGTCTACAATTGTTTTATGATATGTTGAACACGGCTTTAGATAAACATGCTCCTGTTGTTAAAAAGAGAGTTAAAAGAGACAGACAGCCTGAATGGTATAACAGTGAAATCATTTACGCTAGGAATGTGAGAGATAAATATAATGCACTTGGTTTATGGAGTGAGTATAGATTTTGGAGAAATAAAACTAAACAAATCATAGATAACTGAAAAAAAAATTATTATAAAAATATGGTAAAAGACTCCAATGACCCTAAAACTTTATGGAAATGTCTTCACAGTCTGAACCCAAAAGTTAAAAGTACACCATATGGGTTAGACACAGAAGATAACAAGCAAAAAATCAATAGCAGATACTTTTAATAATTTTTTCACTTCCTGTGCTGAAAAACTAAGAGAACAAGGAAGTTAAACACCTGTAAACAAAGCAGATTTCAGTTATCTTTGGTAAATTTGTCAAAAATAAATTACATAAAGATGAAAAATTTTCTATACCACCAGTGATAATGAATGAGTTTTCTAATGAGTTAACAAAACTTGATATAAACAAAGCATCTGGTATGGATAACATTGGACCAAAAATCCTAAGATTAAGTGCCCCTTTTATTGCATCACCTCTCACATATATATTTAACAGAATGATAGATACTGGTATATATCATTCTTTACTGAAGAATGCTAAGGTAACACCAGTTTTCAAGGATGGTGACAAGTTTTTAGCAACAAATTACAGACCTATATCTGTTCTTCCAACTTTATCAAAATTAATAGAAAGGCATGTTTCTAATAAAATGTACAAATACTTATCTAAACTTAAACTTTTACATAGTTCCTAAGCCAAAAGCTGAACTATTTAAGAAATCTTTTGTTTATTCTGGATCAGTGTTATGGAATGGACTACCACACAAAATGCATAAAGCTCATAACACTTTTACTTTTAAACAAAGTATCAAGAAGTACTTAACACAGTCCTGATAAGATTCTGTTTTCTACAATGTATTTGTATATTTTTTATTTTTATTTTTATTTGATTTTTTCATTTTTTACTACATGTACCTCTTGAACAGTTTTATATCTTATCATGTTAATAATAATACATTGAACTACTTGACTGTAAATTAACCATGTGTAAATATATGTTTTTGATTGTATTGTAATTTGTATGTGAGGGCCTCAGGGAAGATTATTTTATTGTAACTAACTGTGTTTACCCTCTTTAAATAAATAATTTATTATTATTATTATATTATTATTATTATTCAGGGGAAATAACTTCTATAAGGAGTTGATTGAAAATTTTGAACACTGATGACTGATTTGTAGATCCTTTTGAGCTGAAAATTTTTGCTATGTACTGTTGCTCTCTGTCTTTGTTTTAGCAAAAAATCCATAAATGGGTAAAAATAGTCATTTAGGGGCAATACCTCCTATCTGATTGTGCCTAACATCTTTGCTAATTACAGTTTCTCTCAATCTATATAAGTTTCTGCCAAAAATTTTAAAAAATTGATAAAACCATCTTGCAAGGGCAATAACTCCTATAAGCAATCAATTGACAATTTTGGCCAAGTTGACTTATTTGTAGATCTTATTTTGTTGAACACTTTTGCTTTTACAATTTCTCTTTATCTATTATAGTTTCTGCCAAAAGAAAATAAAAATTAGTATAATTAGTTTTTTCAAGGGCAATAACTTCTTTAAGGGTCAATTGACGATTCATCCATGTTGACTTATTTGTAGGCCAGATGGGCTAAAAAGAAAAAGAAAAGACAATTGTACATAATTTGGAAAGCAGGGTCAAGATGTGCTCGCTACTACAGGAAGCTTGCCAAGGTAGCCACAACTGTTACACTGGAAATATATGACATCACATAAAAGAAAGGCTTTTTAGTGCTACTTTGTAAAATGCTACATAAGACAGTGCTTCAAAAGGGGTGCATTTTTCATTAAGGATATTTGAACACATTTGAAGATGTACATCCATACCTGATTGTTAGATACGCAAATGGCATTACACAGCTAACTTTTGACTAGTAATAGATCCAATGAACATGATTAACACTTAATTAAAACCATTTAGAATGATTTTGATAATGTGCGGGCTTTTTTATGTATGATTTTACACTTCATAAATTGTATATGGGGAAGATTGATTGTACTTTTCTTAACTAACCAAAATATGATTTTGCACTTGATAAACTTTAGTTACTGAATTACATTGTACACTTGACAAATCATGGTTACCGGTACTTAAGTATAACAGTAAACTAGATCTAGATAATATAGATTCTAAGAAAATACACAGTTATTTATGATATTTATCCACTGGATATTACTACATATTACGATCACATAAACTTAACATTATCAATGATCCATGTAAATAATATCAAGGTCAAATGAACCCTGCCAAACCAATACCTACACTTTACAATCATTCAATACACAAAATATATTTAACCTCATTTTTTTTAGTATCTGAGAAACAACCAAACCATGAAAACCTTAGAAATTGACCAATCAACCATGAAAAGAGGTCAAGATCTGATTATCCCTGCCAGACAGACATGTGCACCTTACAATCAATCCATACACCAGTTATAGTTAACCTATTGCTAATAGTATGTGAGATATGGACTTCACTATGAAAAGTAAACCTTGATCACTTATCAATGAAATGAGTTCATGGTCAGGTGAACCCTGTCTGATGATCATGTTGACTTAGCTTCGACTCAGTTGACATATTTTCTCGGGGTAACAATCTGCTCTATCACCCTCTATCCTATGTGTTATTAATATAATGAGCATCTACACATCATGACAAATATAGTCACTAAGTATGAAAGCTTTCAGAACAACAGTAAAAATGGTCAAATCAAAATGGCAGTGTAGTATGGTTAACTAAACATAATGACAAACAATCCTACCAACTATGAAAGCATTGACGCCAAGTCTCAGTGGAGATGCGTTCACAAGCACAGTTGGATGGATGCACAGACAGATACTGTTACTGTTTCCCTCAGTCCAGTGCAGCAGGGACATTCATATATCATACAAAAAAATGAAAAAAGACTAGTTATTGAATGAATAAATAAACTGATGAAGGCAATTTTTACTTATTATGTTCATAAAGAATTTTGTTGGATTATTGCCCTGTACCATCTACATGTACTATCAAAATCTATTTACTACAATTTCTACAGTTTGTAGCGTGCACATGTTCATAAACATATCTGGTAGGTTCTGTTACTATTACAAATCTGTCACATAATGCCATTTGTACTTAAAGATCAGGTATGATCTTCTATCATTCAACAATGAGTTCAGGGAGACATGATTTTACACTTTGCAGGATTATATTTACCTTGTTTTGAGATCAATATTTGGGAGTTATTATTCTCTGGAATATATAGGTAACACTTATTATTTCAATATTTAAGGACTGTTTTACAGAATATCAATGGTATGTTATAAATATTAATTAAGTTGATTATTTTAGGGTAAAGTGATTTAACAAAAGTGAAACAAATTTTTATCTGGAAATAGTCCTAATCATTTTAAGAATTTTACCCTCCAGTATGTGACATCATTTTTGCATCAATCAAATCAAATTTAGGTGAAATTGTTATTTAATCCATTAGGCATTACATCAACACATTGAATTGTTCGAAATACTAAGGATTTTCTACCCCATGAAACCTTAGCTGAATTTGACAAAACCTTTAGGAATTTTTGGTTCTAAGTGCTCTTCATCTTCATACGTTATTTGGCTTTCTAACTTTTCTGAAATGAGCATCGATGATGAGTCTTATGTAGAAGAAACGCTCATCTGGAGGACATAATTACATTCCAGGTATCTTTGATGAGTTTTTTTAAGCAAAGTAATTGTCATTTAACCAATAACATTTTAAAGTAATCGACTCCATCCCTGATACCAGATATAAACAAAGTCCATTTAAAGAAAAAAAGACAAGTTGCTACATAATCTTACTTACGTTTTTTGAGACCAGTGTACATAGACAAGTTATTATCTGTCAATAATATAAGTCCACATAAATTGTTAGAGTAAAGAGACATGGCTGTCTGTAGTCTCTGTGGCTGAGGAATTACCATACCACTGAAAAACAGAAGTCATTTACTGTAAAACTACCTCTTTGAAAAATTATTATAAATAAAAAGGTAAATTTTCTATTTGTGTAGATGTACGACAGTCTCCATAGACTTGAGAAAAATATAGACAATATTGTATTAGATTATTTTGTTGGTTCTTGCATTTACTCTATATTTGTGTCCAAAAGCCAGAAGATATTTGATCAAAATCTGTGTATTTATTCAAAAAGCTAGATGGGGGTTGTTTGATGATGATTTAACTATATTTATTGTGATGTTATGAAACCTAAACTACTTGATTTTAATTTTGTATTAATTCATCTTTAAAAAAAGACACAAACAGTTATCATTAATAAAAAGTTCAAATGTCAGTTTAGCCAAATAAGGCCTACATACTGTAAATTCAGAAATAAATGTGTGTAATTATTATTGCTAATAACTGATTAACTTTAAAAATGTGAGTTCAAATTAATGCGATTGCAAGTTTTTAATATTGCGAACTTGATACTGTTGCATTTTTCGCTTTTAATAATAAAAACATTGCAATAATTTCTGAATTTACAGTAACACATTAATCCTTTATAGTAAACCATTTCTTTTTTCTACTTTTCAGTATATTATCCTTCTGGTTGGCAATCATACCAAATCTTCTTTTTACATATTAAACAATGCTTTAAGTAACTTACCCTACAGTATGAGTTTTATGTCTGCATAAATCTAATATATCCGTACACAAAAGTCTTAAATTATGTGTTGTTTTCATTTGAGCACCTATAAATAGGTAAAAAAGGTAATGCTAGTATTTGATAATTTATGCAGTTCATTACAAGCTTTAGATGTATCTCATGCAAATATAATGTCTGAAAATTGTCTGGAAACAATCTGATCCAAAATTGAAACATAAATTACATGTTAAATGTTAACAGATTGCTTTTCAGTTATCATTTGATAATTCATATCAATTAATATCTACATGCATTTCCTATTTACCCAAGATGAATTGTAAAACTTCAAAAAGACCTCTTGGACCTTTTACCACTATTAGCCTCTATCGATATAAAAATTTGTAAAATTTCCATGAAACCCTGTATCTTGCATGTGATTGCAATTGTCATTGTAAAAGTGTAATGTTGACTGTAAACAGTAGGTCCATTTATCAGTAAAATATGTAAATTATTTTAAAAAATCAAACTTGACTTCTGTCCAAGTTTCATAACAATCCATGAAGGTTTACAAATTCATCATGTAAAACTTTGTTTAATCCCATACTATTTGAAAATGTTAATTGCAAAAAACTAAGTCTATCTGTCAGTAATATACTGAAAAATGAAGAAATATAATATCCCCAGCGTTGCACATATTTTATCTATCCAAGGGCAAAAACTAAACAAAATATCTTAGTAAAACGAAGGCTAAAGAGCAAATACAATGCAATTTCCAATATATCTGTCAGTGATATACTGAAAAATGAAAAAAATATAATGTCCCCAGCATTGCACATATTTTATCTATCCAAGGGCAATAACTGAAAAAAATATCTTAGAAAAAACGAAGGTTTAAAGAGGCACTAGCTACGAGATATGAAAAAAATTAGAATATGATTTTGTTTGGTTCAATCATTAATATAAGTGAAATAATGAAATAATTTATTCCTTTTTAGCAACCAATTTGGTTCAATTTTGTCAAAATAAGCAAACAAACATTGCTGATGAATTATTCACTTGCAAGTGAATAATTAGACCTCATTGAATCCGTATTCATGTGACCTTCAATTTAACCCAATAGCTAAAGATTGGTTACGCATGTATAAATCGTGGTCAGCCATTTAAAGGAAAAGAATGTCAACATTGAAAGTGAAACAAAGGTGAACCATTTCGTTGACTGATTCGATCCACAAAAAAATCATTCTTATACAGGTAAAAAACGATAATTAACTTTTTATTTAACCTATTACATGAAATCAAACAGACCTAGAAAAATCCAATTGCACGAGGTCTGTATTTGTTTATATTTATGTTTATGTTTATATCGGGTTATATGACAATCGGCAGTCTCCAGTGGTCATCTCGAAAGTTAATCAGATGACGTCTAGACTAAAATACACACGAAATTCTGATATATATTATCAAGTAAACGAGTGTGTTAACTGTTTATTTCAGACTTATTTTAATTTGAATATACATTTTAGTATGTTATAAATCAAATATGAGAATTCATCTCAAATCGGTGAACATGAATTTGACAGGTAGTGCTCCTTTAAGAGCAAATACAATGCAATTTCCAATATAATTAATATTTCCAAGGGGCATAGCTCTTCTTCATTGTCCCCCTGCGCGACAAGTTGCGGGGGACATAGAAATATGGAAATATGAATTATATCAGAAATTTTAATATTTCCAAGGGGCATAGCACTTCAAAAAATATTTGATCAGCACTGATTTAGATACTTGTCTGAGACATTGCTTCTTTCAACCGTTGATAAAAATCTATCAAAAATTGTACACCTGAGAGAGCTTACAATGCAATTTTCTATATAATTAATATTTCAAAGAGGCATAACTCTTTTGAAAATATTTGATCTGCACTGATTTTCGAACTTGTCTGAGACATTGCTAATATAAACCTTTGATATAAATTTAATAAAAATCTGGCTAGAATTGTACACATGAGAGCGCTAACAATGAAATTTCCATATAATTAATATTTCCAAGGGGCACAACTCTTCAAAAAAAAGTTGATTGGCACTGATTTTCGAACTTGTCCGAGACATTGCTGATACAAACCTAAGATATAAGTTTTATAAAAATCTGGCAAGAATTGTACATGTGAGAGCGCTAACATGACAGGATGGACAGAGGCATGGACAGACGGAAAGACGGATGGACGGATGGAAGGATGCCCAGTATTTCTATGTACATCACAACGTGTCGTGCAGGGGGACAATGAAGGTTTGACAAAGTAATTGATGTTTAATAAACTTTAACATCAGACTGTATCAACATGTAAACTACAAAAACAAAAAATAAGTCCTTTCATCATAAAGTTTTGACAAAGTTATTGATGTCTAAAAATACTTATAACCACAGACTTTCATAAAGTTTTGACAAAGTTATTGATGTCTAAAAATACTTATAGCCACAGACTTAACCTAAATGTTGACGCTGTGGATGACAAAAATGATAACAGAATGTAGGATTGCTACAATAATACAGGCTTGACAAAAAAAAACTGTTATTTACCCAATTGGCAATTAAACTTCTTCAATGGTAACAGTTGACTCTGGTCATTTCAGATTTAAGACACTTGTGACAATAGCTTATATCTATCAAATTATCAATGTAACTAGATAGATGTATAGTGGTCGCTCTTATCAATGGTGACTGTAGCCTCTCACTTTTAACCCTTAGCACTCTGTCAAGGTCAAAACTATGGCAGTAACCTATCTACATGTAAAGTAAAAGTCTCCTCCAAGCTGACAGTAGCCTTTTAACTTTAACCCTTAGTAAAATCTCCTCCATGCTGATAGTAGCCTCTGACCTTTAACCCTCAGCAACTCTGTTAAGGTCAAAGCTATCCCTGTTACATACCTAAATGTATAGTAAAACTTTCCTCCATGGTGACAGTAGCCTCTGATCTTTCACCATCATCAGCCTCTGGTAGAGTTGTACTGATATTTCTCATTCTGCCACTGCAAAACACAAAAGCATTCATTTTTGCTGCCATTAATGACAATTAAACAATTATTAATATTCAGCAGCCTATGTTTAAGTTTTTGAAATGTGGATGCACAGAACTGAAGACAATCAAATACTTTTTCAGGTTTTTTTTTATAAACATTTCCTATTGTTATAACAGGGAAATGAAAAATAAAATCAGAACAGAATTCTTTTCTTTCTGTTATGTGATCTGAGCAGGAAAAATTATAAATCACCATCTTAACTTATATATCAAATGATGGATTAGACTATCTTCATTAAACTTAATCCTTATCTTATTTCTTACATATAGAATGATGAATTAGACTATCTTCATTAAACTTAATCCCCATCTCGTTACTTAAATGTAGAATGATGACTAAGAAAGACTATATCTATTTAAATTTAATCATAATGTCTTAATTTACATATAGAATGATGACTTAGACTATCTTCATTGAACTTAATCGTCATGTTAACTTACATAAAAAATTCGTAAGGGTTCCGCGGAACCCAGTGTCTCGCCTACTTTTTCTGTTAATCGCAGACTCAACAAAAATGAGGAAGTAAATCAATAAAAATATTCCTCTTGATACTATCTTTTGATTGTAAGAAGCTTCTGTCCAAGTTTGGTAAAATTCCAGGATAGTTTATGATTTAAAATAACTGTTTAAAACTTTAACTGCAGACTGAATGTAATGTTAACTGGAAGAAAACAAAATTTCCTTCTAGATACTAGCTTTTGATCATAAACAAGCTTCTGTCCAAGTTTGGTACAAATCCAAAATAGCATAAGAAAGTTATTAAAATTTTAAAAACTTTAACCACAGAGTGAATGTGTTGTTTCCTGGCAGAAAATCTAAGTCCATTTAAAAGTAAAATAAGGAAAAAATGGATTTATTTTTTTACAAAATTTACTTCTAGATACTATCTTATGATCATAAACAAGCTTCTGTCCAAGTTTGGTACAAACCCAGAATAGTTTAAGAAAGTTATTAAAATTTTAAAAACTTTAACCACAGAGTGAATGTAATATTTACCGGCAGAAAAACTAAGTCCATTTATAAGTAAAATACGGAAAAAATGGAATTTTATTTTTACAAAATTTACTTCTGGATACTATCTTATGATCATAAACAAGCTTCTGTCCAAGTTTGGTAGAAATCCAGGATAGTTTAAGAAAGTTATTAAAATTTCAAAAACTTTAGCCACAGAGTGAATATTTGTTGACGCCTCCGACAACAACGACGATGCCGACGGAATGTAGGATCGCTATGTCTCGCTTTTTCGACTAAAGTCGAAGGCTCGACAAAAATGATGACTAAGATTATCTTCATTGAATTTAATCCCAATCTTTGTTTACATATAGAATAATGACTTAGACTATCTTCATTGTATTTAATCCCCATCTTGATCTACATTATTGGGTGATGATTTGAGTACCAAAGATTTCAACTGTTGTCTTTCAACAGATGACAAACTTAAAGACAACAACACCTATTGTTGCTGTTTTTTTAAAATTTATTTATAGGCCTACAAGTTTTGTGACATGGGTGGCATCTTCAGGAGAATTGAGCAGTTTTTCCAACCTTTAAATATACTGCACATGATTTTCAGTTACAAAATGTTACTGTGGATATATAATTACAGAATCATTACACAATTAAAGTGAAAGTAAACAGTATTTAGAATTGAATAAGCAATGGCACAGTCAAACTTAGAATAGTATCAACAATTATACAAAGATTAAAAATGTTTGAAAATTGACCACTCAGTGTCAATCTATCAACAAATAATAAATATCTACTAAACTAACATGTAGGGTTTTGATTTAGACTGAGTATCTTCATGTACTTTAATCACCCATTCTCTAAATTCCTGTTTCTGAGTGTCTTTTAGGTTTGTTAACTCTTTGGTCCATTTACTTTCAATCATCTGGAATGAAACATAATATTTTATTACTGTATTATTCAAAGTTATCAGTCAAAAGGTTTTCTACAAGGATCAGCAGTCCTTCGCCTTTCATTTGATACCTAAATACCAAAATATATTCTACATAGTTTGATATTTACCCCTATATGTAGGAATGTTTTAAATATGTACTACTTTCCAGTATGTTCTTTTTTTCTGGGCCCAATTTGGTGGTGTTACATCTTACAAAGTCTACCCCAATTATTTTGCAAAGAATTATGCTAAAACCTGTGCTAGAGGCCGTCTAAAACTTGCAGTGAGGTGAAAATTATTTGCTCTGTGTTAAAGGCCTCACTGTGACTTCGAGATGAAGGACAGCAAAAAAAGCGCTATTCCTTTACTTTTTGTGAGTTTATTCCTGTGCATGTACTGATTTTGTGTCATGGATGGATACCCCATATTCGTTGTTTTTCTCTTAATTCAACCTTAACATAACATAAATGTAATAGTCTAATTCAATATTAACATAACATAAACATAAAAGTCTAATTCAATCTTAAAATAACATAAAGGTAATAGTTCAAATCAACCTTAACAGCATGTTTTTTTGCTCCTATGAGAGATTTGTATCATCACCGACTGAATACTCAAATCATCAAGGTGAATTTTGTTCTAGTTTTTATCACCCTTAGTCAGGGGGGATTTGTGGGGTGTGAACAACCTCTGAAAACAACAATAGTATTAAAGACAATTACAGCTCTTCTATAAAAGCATGCAAAGCAAACCTTTGATCAACTTGCTTGCTATGTTTGCTTGGATGTTTGCAAACAATAGGTAGGCGGAGTTTCAGTCTGTTTTGTATATACTGGAATTTGATTAGACAATAAAAATTGACATGCAATGAAGTTCTGTTTATTGTCCAATCAAATTCCAGTATATAGTAAACAGACTGAAACAGACTATATCTACATTTTGTTTACAAACATCCAAACAAACATAGCAAGCAAGTTGATCAAAGGTTTGCTTTGCATGCTTTTATAGAAGAGCTGTAAAGGTAAGATTCAGATTGAATTAGCTTTTAAAGTCAATGTGCCAAGACCCCAATAACAACCCTAAAAGAAATCAATCCTGGCTATGGAACTGGGGCTCTTTTTACAAAAAATCTTACAACAAAAAAATTATCGTAACTTATATTGAAATGTATATAAAAAAAAAGTTCTCTTAAGTTTTTAGTGAAATTGATTGCTGACATCTAATTACAAGTAAATCTGATTTTTCCCAGCAGATTGCATGAAAATTAATGTATGCACAAAGCTAATTAATATTTATCATATAACTCCTAGAGGAACATTCACCAAGTTAAGATGCTGAAATTCAAATTTAAGATCAACAAATGAAGGTTTCCCTTTGACAGAGACAATCCATCAGGGATAAAGTTAATGTTAAACATATATAGAACATGTCTTCCATTTTCTTTATTTTATTTCAATTAAATGCATCTAACCATACTTTCGAACTTACCTTCATATTGTTCACAGTGATTGTTACATTTTTGGTGTAATGAATTTACCTGCATCTGATCAAAGTGATTGTTGTATTTTAGGTGTAATGAATTTACCTGCATCTGATCAAAGTGATTGTTGTATTTTAGGTGTAATGAATTTACCTGCATCTGTTCAAAGTGGTTTTGTGCTAATTCATTAACTTCATCATTAGAATAAGTCTTTACTGCCTCATCCATTTCCTCTCTTTGTCTGAAATAACAAACAATGCAAATATCAGAAATGAGTGTTTGTATAAATAGTAAAACATAACACAATGACTGAGTTGTAAAAACAATAAACATGCCTATCTTTCCTGTGTGAAAGTTTTTGAAAAATATCAAACAAAGTGTTTATCACTTTCATTTCTACCTTGTTTCTTAGTGTAAAAGTGCAAAATGTGTGTTCAACACTATTTTCTTAAATAATACCATTTTAATGATATTTTTACCTCCAACTAACAACAATATTATCCCTACCCCTCTGAAAATTTGTAACTGTTGTTTAACATACATATGTAATCAGCTGAATAAGGAGCAATACCAGGCAAAGCATGTCTTCAAAGGAAATGATCAATAGTCTGTCCAGAAATAGTGTGTCATACAGTCAGAGGGTTGACAGAGTAATTGCCTGGACACAGTAATAAACAGCCCTTTAAATCTCTAATATGGTATGAGCTACAGCAAGTCAGTTATTACAGCAAAAAGAAAATATGGTGTTTTCTAAATAAATTCAATGCAATTGAAACAGCGATAGTATGGCCTGTATGCAATTTTGATAGTATAAAGTTGAAATTTAAATGGCAAAACTTTAACAGGTAAACTATGTAAATAGTTGTCTCATTGGCAATCATACCACATCTTCCTATTTTTATATGTAAACTTTCAAAGTCAACGGACTATGACTTAGGGGGCAGGCCCAAATAATCTCCACGGAAATAAGATGTGCCAATGCTAAATTAGTGGATTACAAACATAATTGACTTCATGATTAATGGTTCTCCTTAAATGATCTAATCACAAAATTAAACAAGTTATTGACATCCCCGCCAAAAACAGCATGTCTAATCTCCCCTCCAGGACTTCAGGCAAGACAAACACAGCATCCATATATGATTTAGATTATATTTTTCTTATATTGTTAACATTATAAACAACTCTTGAAATACAAACATAATCCAAAAAATTAAACCTGACCATTCGAGCATTAAAATTAGGTAAAGGACATCTGAAATATATCTGAAAGACATATATTCCAAAAAACAAATCAGCATTTCAAATATTGTTGACTGTCACCTATACCTATTGAAGAATAGACTTGTCTAACTGTCACAAACTATTAACTTTGACCTTACCAGTGTTCCAGCTAGGATTTCAAAAGGGCAGGGTGCCAATCCTGAAAAAGGGCATTTAACGCGTGATATGATAATATGAAAAGGGCATGTTTTAATAAAGATTATAATCAAACATTTTTTGTTCATTGAATCACTGGTTTTATATATACAAGAACAACATCATAAGCCCAGAGAAAAACTATCTTTCTACTTTTTAGGCTGAAAACTTGTCAAGCAGCTTGTCACACAAGTTTTAAATCATTGCTTGGCACAGTTAAGCTTTATATGCAGTATTGTTTGAAAAATGTCCTGCTTCATTTTGTTTCTATGGTCTGACACACTTTACAAGTTTAACCTTTCTACCTTTTCTGTGCTTAATGGCAATACAGCACAAAACAGCTGTAAATGCACAATGTTAGGATATAGTGAACAGTGAAAATTTGGATTGAAAATAAAAAATACAGAAAAAGATGACCAAGGCACCCTACCAACCCTGCTACTAAGACCCTCTTTAACTTTTCCCATAACTCAAAACACCTAAACATATAAATTCTAAAGCCAGAAGTATGAAGACATATTTTATAATATCTTAGTAGGTTACTCAATGCTAGGAAAAAAATAAGATTGAGTTATCTTTCTTAATTTGGGTGTGCTCCTTCTTTGGAGGATAATAAGCAGTACATGTACGTAGAAGATGTAAGTACGATCAACAATATGGCGGCCGATTTTGTTATTTTCGTATAAAAAATGAAGGCAGTCAATGAAAAATACGTCTTAATTTGCTATTTATTTCACGGAAAACAATAATAGCAATGTTTTTAACGAGTTGTTTATGGTTTTCGACTTTCTGTCAATTACGTTTTCTCAATGAAACTACGGTAAACATTGCCCAAGTTGTATGAACATTTCTTCAAGTTCAAAGACAAATGCCGACTGACCGATTCTATTTGAATGAATTAATGTTGATGATCATTAAATGACCCATCCGATAAACGGATTACCTATAACAAACAGATTATGACACCTGTTGTAACCGTTGATTAGCTTGGGGTCGTAAACAAAGTTATATACTTGTCGCCAGGTAAATTTTCGTAATTGGCTGATCATATCAATACGAACAAAATAATATACCAATGGATCTTCAAAAAAGGCAGGGCGCCCTGCAAACTGTAAAAAGGGCACAGGGCGGCACTCGGGAAAGGGCGGGCGGACCGCCCTGTGAAAACGACCTAGCTGGAACACTGCTTACATCCCAAAAGAATTTGGAAAAGCAAACTATCCTTTGATTACCTCTGCTGTGAATGACTTACATCCCACAATGATTTGACCATACAAACTGCAGTTCAATTACCTCTGTTGCAGATGACTAAGATCAGCATCTCTTTGTCGTAACAAATCTTCTACTGTCAAAGAGTATGTATGTTCTAGATTGAGTAATGTATCCAATGCTGGTGAATGAATCAGGGAATGATAAACTTTAGAGAACTTTTCTTCCTGAGTCTCTGCCTCTTCTTTGGCATATCTCTTCACTTCCTGCAAAAAGAATCATAAAACTGATATGAAATAAAGGAAAACATGTTGAAGTGTATGTTCTGAAGTATTGATGTTGGTAGTTTTTACTTTTCTACCTTTTTATCTAAATGCATTATTTTAAGTAACAAATGCATGATTTGGCTGCATGCTTAGATATCCTAACTCTTCCTGTGATGGACATTTTTTTTCTGCTTTCTTTATACCATAACCTTCCCACCTATACCTATTCCATCCATTTTCTATGGCAGACATTATATAAGATTCACAAACTTAATGTTATCCTAATCAAGCATCGTGATATTGAAGTTGCAATTTACCAGAACATAATTTCTGTTTTGACCTTTGACCTTCTGTTCAACCTTTTTGACTGAGAAGACTTCTAAGATCCTGTTTTACAGAAGATACAGTCATTCAGTATTCATAATTTTGATATCTTTCCATAACATTAATTAGTTTAATGGATCCTACAAAACAATTCACTTATAGATCTTCAACTGAAAAGCCTTACCTGTGTGAATGCTTTTGACCATTTATCAACCAAACTGTCCACAGTTGCTTGGTCAGCCTTTTTTATTTCATCAATCTTTTTCTGTACATTTTTTTCATAAATCTGTTGTGTGTGTTTCCAAACAAATGCCTCTAGTTTTTCTTTCAACTCTAAAATAAATACAGTAAAATACATATATACAAGACATTGCTTAAATATGTGTTATGATATAACATGAAGATAAAATATTCTGTCCACCTACGGGTAATTTTCAAATTATGAAAACTTTAGACAATCTCAGTCCTCCTTCACACAAACCTAACTGAAATCCACAGCATTGGACTGTATCAAATAATATTGCAAAATCACAAATTTTAAAAGAAGATAATACAAGGTATCTTTCACCTGTAACACTAGCTGTCAACACCCTTGTGAAAGACCATCACTGTCATCAGTCAATATTTGATAATACTGATTCAATCTGGTGAAATAATTTCAGTGTAGCAATATTGAACCATTTTCTAAATGATGAAAGCTAAAAAGTCTTTCCATTTTCAATACTTTTAAAGTTGGAAATCTTTCTAATGGTTCAGTCTGACCATAGGGGCTGATGAATGTCAAAACAATCTTCCATCTTATCCCTTTCTGACTATAATTTGACAAAAAAAGTGATTGGTCTTTAAAAGATGTGTTTTTTTTACAAAAGTGGTTGTTAAATTGGCATTACAATGAAACTATTATTTAAAACAAATACCTGACCAATGAAATCATCAAGTGAATGGTACAATAGTACAATAGTGATACTTGCCATTCTCTATAAAACATGGCAAATTATGAGCTGCAACTAATTGACCAATGAAATCATCCAGTGGTTGCTTCAGTGGTATGGGAACTGGAACTTCTAGAGTGGATACTAAATCTTTGCTGAGGAATGTAAACTTGAAGTCTTCCTTAGACATTCTGAAATATTTTTTCAAAACTTTAATACCAATAAATCTAATAACCTATATTTTGTTATTAATTGCATTAATGGATAAAAAATAAGACATGTGGTATGATAGCTTATAAGACCTCTTTCTCAAAAACCAAAAGGCAAGGTTATAAATAACTATGAGGTCACCATAGGCCTTTCAACAATGAGCAAAAGCCATACTGTCTTGTATAAATTTATAATTTAGAATGATGATTTCGAACTTTCCATTTCAGTTTACCAACAATACAGCAACTTTAGTTAATAAACATTCAAGATCAACAGGAAACAATGCTTTAAGAAACAATACCACTTACCATTTAGTAATATATCTGTAGTATCATTGACCTTTTGGGATATGAATAAAGGTCAGAAAAACAACTGCGAATTATGGTCAACAATTTATTGTGTGAAAGATGTACACTACAATTTTTCTAACCAAGAATAATAAATTAACACTAGATATCAAACAAGTGAAGAAATCTATTTTAATAATATCTTATTGGACTTTCAAATTTACAGCCTCACTGCTTTAAAATCAAAATAATGTTTAATATAACAAAATGTGAGAACAAGATGTCCAAAATAAATATTGCTTTTTGGACCACAATAGTGAAATTCAAAACCCTACTGCTAATGGTCATGATGGTAAGGAATTCTGTTAATGGTCATGATAGTAAGGAATTATATAATTTATTGAACAATAGAGCATGAATTAATATGTTACCTTATGGTATGTCATATTGTTATGTTTGTTAAATAATTGTATTTTTTCGGGAGACAGATTTATAAAAGTTTTTCCAAACTTGTTTCTGAATCCCATATTCAAATTTTATGTAAAATTGTACTACTTCATTGTTATAATTTTTCAATAATAAATACTGTTTAAACTAATTAATTAGATTATAAAATAAGGAGATGTGGTATGATTGCCAATAAGACAACTTTCCAACTGAGTCCAAATTAAGGGGATTTAAGCAACTATAGGGCATTCAGGAACCTCTGGCCTTTATTAGTCTTGTATGTTTTTTTAAATTTTGGTTCATTTATATGTTTCGGAAGTTTAGTGTGACGTCCTTTTTCGCTGAACTAGTATACATTATTGTTTAGGGGCCAGCTGAAGCCCGCCTCCGGGTGCAGGATTTTCTCGATGTGATGAAGGCCCATTGGTGGCCTTATAATTAGATCTTTGAATATTGTTTTTATTGGTATTAATATTGATTTTGTTATCAGTAAATTAAAATCAAACTAAATATTATTTTTATATACATATGCACATTCATGGCTCTACAATCTGTCGATACCTGTATCTTGGCGCACAAGGTCATGTTTTTCTCTGACTGTCAATGATGTCTTTACACTAAATCCATTGGATGTTGGATATGTACTGATTGATATTTTAGGCTTAGGTGCATGATTTGTTTTATTAGTTGTTATTGGCTTTGAACTAGCTGTCAGTAACTGGGAGTACTCGCAGATCTGTACTTAGTGTTTTTTTGTTGTGGGGATGTATAAGTACCCTGCCACATCCACTCTGTGTTTTTGTTGAGATGTATGTCTGCTTTGTATCAATCTGATGAGTTAAGCCCTTTTCAACTGATTTTTATAGTTTGTTCTTATGTTGTACTATTACACCACTGTCCAAGGTTAAGGGGAGGGTTGGTGCCTTCAAACTAGTTTAACCTTGCCACATTCTATATTTGCATGTTCCAAGTCAAGAGCCTGTAATTCAGTGGTTGTTGTTTATTGTTTTTTCTCATATTTGTTCTCATTTATTGTTTTGTATAGTTTGTTCTTATGTTGTGTCATTGCACAATGGTCTCAGGTTAGGGGAGGGTTGGCACCAACAAACTAGTTTAACTCCCACCACATTCTGTATGTGCCTGTTCCAAGTCAGGAGCCTGTAATTCAGTGGTTGTTGTTTGTTGCTGTATATCATATTTGTTTTTCATTCATTATCTTGTACATAAATCAGGCTGTTAGTTTTCTCATTTGAATTGTTTTACATTTGTCATTTTGGGGCCTTTTATAGCTGACTATGTGGTATGGGTTTTACTCATGGTTGAAAGCCGTATGGTGACCTATAGTTGTTAATTTCTGTGTCATTTAGTATTTTGTGGAGAGTTGTCTCATTGGCAATAATACCACATCTTCTTATTTTTATATTGGGCTGTTTTTTGCTCTTTGGTCATGATGTCTCTTTGAAGCATTCCGTGTTTCCATTCTCAATTTTAATAATTTGCAAATCCCGTACAGTATAGTCAGCTTTAAAAGTTCTCTTACCTAATTAAATGGTCCTTTGAAAATTCTGGTTGTATATTTATTTACTGCAACTCATACAAAGCCTTCTTCTGTAATGAAGAAGGGAAATATGCTAGATATATATACTTACTGTAACTGTATTGAGATGATTAAAACTGTAAATTTTCTCTTTGACAATATCTATGTGCGTTTCAGCAATGAAGTTTATCGGCAGGTTGTTGATAATCCTATGGGCACCAATTGTGCCCCTTTCATAGCAGACTTGTTCCTATATTGTTATGAATCAGTTTATGGCCAAACTCAGTAAAGATCCATCTAAATTACATTTAATTGATCAATTTAAAAACACTTACCGTTACTTTAATGAGATTTTTGCTTTAAATAATCAAGAATTTTCTAATTTTACTGTAATTTAATAAATCTAATACAGACAGCATTAATTGTTCTTTTTCATGATTAGGAATTTTTCAGTTTCACACAGAAAACTCTATAATATATATATATCAATTAGTACACATCCAACAGAGTTAGTGTAAAGATGTAATAAACATTCTGAGAACAGCATGACCTTATGCAATGGCAATCTGATGGATTTTACTGAACACCTTAGGTACTTAAACAACTATAATACATTTGGTATTCATGTTTTGCTATTTACAGTACTGTTAGATGTTTTCATATTCATTATGTGCGTATCCCAAGTCAGGAGCCTGTAGTTCATTGGTTGTCGTTGGTTCATATCTGTCATATTTGTTTTTCGTAAATTGTTTTGTTATAAATTAGGCCGTAAGTTTTCTCAATTGAATTGTTTCATATTTTTCATGTCCAGGCCTTTTATAGCCAACTATTTGGTATGGGTTTTTCTCATTGTTGAAGGCTGTATGGATGCCTATATAAATTGCTTACATCCACTACATTTGAACTTTGGTGGATAGTTGTCTCATTGGCAATCATACCACATCTCTTTATTATTACACTTGATTTACTCAAACAATTGAAGTTATACAAAATACACAGGGCTGTTCATTGGGGTTACTGGCTTTACTACTCTAGCCCTGCATATGCCCACCTACTGACCCTTAAAGAGTGGTAGCAAGGATTCTTAATAAGTATGGCAATCTGTTTACACAAGTTGACATGACTGCAAATTTATACATCCTGTACAGTCAAACGACACCCTACTTTTGAAAGGATTTTACTGCCGGTCCGAAGGATACCAAGGGATGACCATATATACCAAAGTCAACCCTTGGGGTCTCAACTGATTAAATCATACATCCATGGCAAGCTGTTTTTATATCTTTTCTATTTTTTTTAAATATCTTATAAAATTGATAAGATATCTTAAAAAGTATAGAAGATAGCTTGTGTTCTGTATGAGATGTCTTATTTACTTTCAAATTTATAAGATATATTTTAAACTAAAGTAGATATTTTATATAAGATACTTTTTAGACACTTTATTAAATATCTTGTAGAGTTTATTAGATATCTTGTATAGTTTATAAGATATCTCTATTTGTATATAAGATATTTAAGAAAGTATATAAGATATCACATAAAGAATACAAAATATCCCATATATCTTATAAGATATCTTATTTAATATATATAGGATCTCTATCTTATTTAATATATTCAGAAGAATGTCTATCTTATTTAATTGATAAGATATCTCAATTAGTTTATAAGATATTTTATGTAGTTTAGTATGTTTTTAGTAATTCATTTTGTTGAATGCGAAATTATATTTTAGAGTTTGCTTTTAAAGGAATAGTCATTTTTGAAGTTTGGTAAACAGATAATATTGCATTTAAGCAATTAAAGAGAAAAATACTGCGTTTTCATGAGCAACAGTGTTGTCATTTGTAATCTAAACAATTTACCAGAAATTAACCTATTTTTTATGGTTATATTTGTTGAGGCAGTGTATCTGATCAATGTGTTGCTTAAATTGTATTTCCATTTAATAAGAGCCAAGGTCTCTGCTGGTGTCATCATATATAAAAGTTTGCTCTGTATAACCAATGTCATAGTGGACTATGCAGTAGATAGTGATTTTTGAGTATAGTATGCATACATTTGATAGTTGATTGAATGTTAGACTGAAGACGTAATTAGGCATGCTTGTTTATGAAAGTATTGGATTTTTATATATTTTATATTTTTTAAATGACCAAAGCGCCTTGACCATTTAAAACAAACAGGGTTTGTTTATTTGTTCGGGGGGATGTTATATGTCAGTTTGGTATGGTCAAGACATTTGGTTAAGTAAGCATATTTTTAAGAGAGTTATCTCTCCTTAACTAGTTATTGGGTTTTGCGTATTGTATTGCGGCATAAGTCCGTATTTGGTTTATATGATTGTTTTACAGTTGATTGTTCTCTTGATTTATTGTGACCATAGCTGTACATGTGTTTGAGAAATAGAACTTTACTAATTTGAAAAGTAGTTATATTATTTATGCCAGAGTAAAGCATAAAAATATCTTATTAAGTTTATAAGAAATCTTTGAAATAAAAAAATAAAAAATACCTTATATAGTTTATAAGATGTCTTTTTAAATAAACAGGATTTCTGTTTTTAATAAATAAGAAATATTAACCTGAATAAGATATCTACTAGCATGACTAGTAATAAATAGCCATGCTAATTTAAGCAGGAATGATACTTTACATTAGGGTATTGATGAACGGTAAAAAACACTGGTTTCAAGAGCAAAAAACTCCATTTCATTGCATTGCATTTGTGCGTTTACAGTTGTGTACCTACGATGGATTCAGAGACATTGTATATATGTCTCTGGTGGATTTTACTGAACACAGACTGAACACCAAAGGTACCTAAATAACTATAATACATGTTATAGATATAAGAAGATGTGATATGAGTGCCAATGAGACAACTCTCCATCCAAGTCAAAATTTATAAAAGTAAACCATTCATAGGTCAAAGTACAATCTTCAACATGGAGCCTTGGCTCACACCAAACAGCAAGCTATAAAGGGCCCCAAAAATTACTAGTGTAAAACCATTCAAACGGGAAAACCAACGGTCTTATCTAAATAAAAAACGAGAAACGAGAAACACTTATGAACCACATCAACAAACGACAACTACTGAACATCAGATTCCTGACTGTTTGACGTTTTGACTACGTACCAAATTGACTAAACAGGATGCTGATTTGACCAAACGCTAAAGTGACAAGAATCTGGTAAAAGCCGCTAGCCCAAACATTATCTTCAGGTTCATCATATTAAAAGGAGTTAAAGATATGGTCGCGTGTTTTATCAAAGATTTATAACTAACACACGTCCTAATGGTTTTATCCACCTCAAAATTGACATACATGGCAGACAAACCTGTGCTAATTGAAAAGTTTATGGCATGGCTGGAAGTTGTATGCATTATATGTTTCAGATAGTTAACAACTTTTTTTTAATTTTGAGATACATTTTTTTTCAGTCTGCAGAAGATACAAAATCATTAATCCGGGGATTGTTCCTACAGGTTTACCCTGAATGTCAGTTTTGAGAGCGATATAGAGATTAATCGTATTGTTAAATAACCTTGTGCAATCTTGCCACTTAATTATGAACACAAAAAAAGATGTCTCAAATGATCAGCCGCCCACTTCATGGGCGCAGACATCTTGGCTTTGCTGTGCATTGTGGGATTTATTGGCCTAATTAATATAACAGACAGTTGTAACTCGGTCACTAGAACATGTCATTTGTGACTATTTCAGAAGTAAATTGTAATTTAGGATGACAGTGTGAGTAATGTCAATAAACATGGTAGCTATTTAATTCCACAAAGTCATATTTAACGTTTTGCTTTCCGAGAATATCCGCATTCCTTCCAGACATGTTTTGTATTTTCAGGACAGGATATATAAGGTCAAAATGTGCAGACGTTTTGGAAAAGCCGGTTAACAGGAATAATCAGACATGTCTGAAAGGCGTGTTTTTCAATCTCCCGAGTTTTATAACCATGACAGCTAAGCACAGGACAAAAATAAGGAGCACGTAGTCATTGGTAACACTACCATCTTTGCTTAGGTTGTATACAATATAAAATTACTATAAAATACACATAAATATGATAAAGATACCTGGATTTCCCATCTTTGTGTGTAAGTATCCACTTTTTTTGCTTATAAGTCTGCTACAACTTGTCGGAGTCGCATACATAAAAAGGACTTGTATTGTAACAATTAAAAATGTATACAGGTATCTGACATGCAGTCTCCTAAAATGTTGTTTATTGGCATCTGTTATTATTTCCTTAATTATTCTGATAACCTCTCTGTTTTATTTGCCATACCTTTAGCTTACTGACCCACTTCATAAAAATTGTTCCAAATAGATTTCTGAGTTCATGACAGATATGGTGTTTATGCACTACATGTATCATAGTTACATCCCAGATCCAAGTTTTAATTTTTTATGGCAAAGTATAACGTTACATGTATCACTTTTCATTCTGTGAAACTGAGCATGTTTATAATTTAAGAATACATATAAAATGCTGTTAATAAAGGAAACCTATTTGGATAATCATTTCTGAAAATACTGCACAGTTGTCATGAAATATAAGTTCCTTCATAGTAGAAGTTCCAAATGGAAGAAATACTATGTAATTTTATTTCCACTGGAAAAAATATTACAGTTGCAACAGGAACAGATATTATGGCATTGTTTATAACAAAGTTTCCTTGGGAACTTCTGTTAGGGGGAACAAATATATGTTGACACAGGGACATAAACAATCAAAGTCAGTTAATTGACAGTTATGAATATAAAAATAAGATGTGGTATGATTTCTAAGGAGACAGCTATGAAGTTGGAATGCCACTGTACCCTTTTTACAAATAAATACATATTAAATGTATAAAAAAGGAGTAAAAATGTGCCAATGATACTTTAGACTTCTCACATTGCTGTGCCAACAGTTATCTTTGTATTTTTTTCCTTCTGGACCTATTGTACATGTTGTAGATAAACAAATTCATGACAAAAATTACAACAAATAAAACATAATTTCATAAAATTTGTTGAACTGAAATAAAACTGGATTTTTTTTTGGAAATATTATGATCAGTGAATTTTTTTCTCAAGATTTAGTTATCTTTTTTCATGTTATCAGTTCTCAGATGTTATTTACACTTTGATTGTATTAAAACCAATGAAAAATATTAGACATGTATGGATGATGGAATTAATGTAAATGATATTTATAAATGATAGAAACATGAAATGAAACTATAGTTTATACTGTAATATATATGTAATAATGTAGAGAATATACATGAAAACTTTGTTACAAATTATTGGGATAACCTTATTGATCACACATTCAGCATAAAAGCTTAATGTTTATAGTATAATCAAATTCCATTTTTTTCAAAAGCTAGACCTGCACATCTGAGACGCGCAAGTAATTTATAAAGTAAATTAGTCATATTAGTGTTACAGTAAAGTTGCAGATATTATCATAATTTCAGTGCACATACATCATAGCACGTTTAGGATTGCCAATGAGACAACTCTCCACCAGAGACCAAATGATATAGAAGTTATGGCAGTCATAAACATTTTTGAGTGTGATTACGGTTTATTCAGACTCAGAAAAAGCTATTCAACATACCATTGCATACTAGATTTGGTGTTTTGTGCACAAATTGAGTAAAATTTTATTACTGAAAGGCCTGGGCTGAAAATTGCAAATCTCTCACCTCCATTTCTTGTCATATTTTTATGAATTTTATATCAAGGGTTATATGAGGAAGGTCTTTGACAATTTGACAATTTGATAATCAGCATTGGTCATCTTTTTTACATAAGTTATGGCCCTTGGAAATAAAAACTATATAGAAATTTGCATTGTAAGCAATCTCAAGCCGACATTTCTTGTAGGATATTTATGGAAAAGTTTAAAAGAGCAAAGAAAATATACAGGGAATTATTGCCCTGTGACAGATAGAATATCTGAATCGACATTGAGCAGGCTGAATGTTTAAAATAAATATATTGTTGTCATTAACTCTTCTTTTCCCTTATTTTCAGTGATTATGAAGATTTATGATATTAAAGTGCTATAATTGGAATATGGCGGATAAAAAAGTACACAATTTCATGGATGATAAACTACCATCGTTTGTTAATGAGGACCAGGAGTCACAAATCAAGGAAAAAGATAATCTCCATCTCCTTAGTAACTTACCATCCATAATTGGAGGTAAAGGGGGAAAAGTCTCAGAAGAACAAATACTGTCTCAGATAAAAAAAGAATACATACCTCCAGATGAACAGCATACAAACATTCCATCAATTGTCTCAGATAATATTTTCCCAAAGTGTGATTGGGACAACAATAGATTCAGGTTTTACATGGAAAATGAAGAAAATGAAAAAAAAAAAGGGGAAGAAGAAAATAAGAGAAAAGATGATAGAGTAGATATTTATGACTTTCCTGTTGAAGAAAAATCAAAGGAAAAGCCACCAAACAGAAGATTCTCCTTTAATAAGAAAATCAACAGATTTCTTAATCGCACAGCTGCTGAGAGTCAAACTAAAAGTTCTGCTAGTTATTCTGCCACATCTTTTTCTAGTACTGTGACTAAATCTTCATGTCAAACAACTTCTTCAGAGGAACAGGACGTTAACATAAAGAGGTTGCTGGGAAGCCACATTAAACTGCCCCTTACATTACCTAGTAGTAGTGGTGCTGACAACACTCCATACAATGTCTCTAGGGATTCTGATTTTAGCAAACATTTTGACACTTTTACACATGTTGATGGCAGCAGTGACAAACCTTCACAAGGAAATGAGCCAAATAATGCAGACATCAGTAGAAATTCAGAGGGATCTGATCTCAGTAAGCTTCATGAAATGTTAACAAATGGTGCTGATTTCTCGAAATATTTGCATAATCAAGATATAGAGAATACTATAAAGTCTGCAAAAGCTTATGATTCAAATACGTGCAATACTGTCAAAAGTCTAGAACAGGAAATCATTGCTGAAATGATGAAAGGAAGGCATGCATCCCAAATTAGGGTAGACAACTCATTCAAAACTGATCACACGATTAATAAATCTATTAATCAAAGTATGTCACAAAATTGTACTTTAGACAATATGAAAGATGATCTGTCATTCGGTAAAAGCTTGGATAATATACCATTTAATAGAAATATGGATAATATTCCTTTTAACTTTGTCCAACCAAACAACAATGGTGGAAATTCCAGTAGGCAAATACAAAACATGAGAGTAGGTGATAATAGGGGTCTATCACATACACAGGGTGATAACAGTAGAATGATGTCTCACAGTGATGATGGGAAACCAGTCAGTATACCACAGACAGTCAATGCTCAGACTGATGATGATAATGAAACAGGACTACAAATAGTCACAAACCAAAACAGTAAGTTGTTCAGCTACGTTGATGAGGAAGGCATTTAGTGTTAGATATTCAAATTTTGTTTACACTTCCACCAACCTATTCTTTTTTATTTCCAGGAAAAAATGAAATAAGATTTTCATGCTTCTTTTTCCCTCCGGACCCTATAAAATACATTATTTCTGAACCATAAATTAAAAATATCTGCATAGTTGCGTTAACCTTCAAATTAGGAATTGTTTATACCTAAACAGAAATGATTACATATCTACCTCTGTGTTTGTGTTTAAAAAATGAAAAACTAAAACTAGCCAATATCATCTGATTGGGAAACGTTGTTTATGCAAATAATTTACGGAACGAAACCTACTTAAATAGCCCAATTACAATGAGTTCTTTCTGCATTTTTTCATCATTGAGTAAGATTTTGGTAAAACATTTTTGGATCAGATGTTTCAAACATACAAATTTACAATATATAAGGAGATGTTTTATAATTGCCAACTATCCACCAGAGACAAAAGGATATAAACGTCTTGTATTGTCATTGTCATAGATGAAATAAACATGTCCAAATTGTCTAGATAGTTACTGTGGATTCATCTACATTGTATTTTCGTGGATATTGGATTTGTGTTTTTTTTCGAAAATTCTGCATACAAACTTATAAAGAATTTGTATTTTGTTTTAACATTTGAATTCGTGGTTCATGTATAGGGGTCATTCCACCATTGTTATCAGGTTATAGACTTTAAATAGAATTATAAAAATTTTTGCAGATTTCATCTTTGTTTCAAATATTAAAATACTTGGCATGAATAAAGTTTTATCCTGGCCAGTACTACAGTAAGAATTTCACATAGTATTTCATTGCATATAACATGTATAAAAAAATAACCATCACTGGATGTAAAATGAGCAACTTTTCACCCTTTTTTCCCCTGTTTACAAGCTTTAGTAACCAGATCACCTCAAGTTTCCAAAATATTTTATAGGAACACCAAATAAAAAAAAATAATTGTGCTTTTAACATGTTTAAACACCCAAGATATGTGTTCATGACTCAGAAAAAAATTTCTGCAATGAAATACAGGGTTAATTCCCTACAACTGTCAATTTCAATCATGGCTTTACGTACATTAACAAAGGCCCCATTTACTGGTAACTTTTCTTTTAAACGGAATTATTCAGCATGCAAATTCAGTAGAAAATTTAAACATTTACATGTATACTAGATGCATAAACTTTTCTTTTCCAGATGCCCCAAGAAAGCCAACTTACAGTAGTACTACACTGAAATGTTTAGTCTGTGGAGATAGATCCTCAGGAATTCATTATGGTGTATTAGCTTGTGAAGGTTGCAAGGTATGTATGGTATATAATTTTGTACATTTGTAAGAGGAATATATATACTGTAAATTCATAAATTGTTGTGATGTTTTTTTTTAATTCGAAAAAATGCCAGTGCTAGGTCAAAGATTCACAATAATAAATGCACATATTAATTTCTGAATTTACGGCATCATGATCATATACTGTGGTCTAAAGATATAGAAATTCATTACCTAATTCATCATGGTGTATTAGCTTGTGAAGGTTGTAACTTGTAAATAACATAATTTGTGTGTGTGTAAGCTAAAGTATGTGTGTGTAAACTAAAGTATGTGTGTGTAAGCTAGAGAATGTGTGTGTACGGGGATAATGAAGTGACAAATACTCTGGTCGGAAGATTTAGGAACTTAGGAATTGGTCATGAATCTAGGTTTAGGAAGTTTGTAAAGTAATTGCTATTTATTTTAGGGGTTGTAGTATTATACACTTTGGTCTGTATAGATTTATTAGGATGTCTTAGCTTGTAAAGGGGGGGGTGGGGGAGGAGGTATGATGTTGTGTCATGTAATAGCTTAGCTTTTGAAGTTCACAAAGTAAGTATATACATGTGAGTACAAACAAATGTATGTGAGGAGAGGATTAATGAAGCACCATGAAGATCTGCTCTATGGAGAGGCTGCTATAATCCTGATGAAGATTCTTTTCACAAAGTTTTATGACTATAGTCATTTAATATTGGAAATCTGAACTGGGACATAAAACATAATATAAGTCAGTGAAGTGTAAAATGTGGGAATAACCTACTTTTTGCAAGATGTTGCTATACTCCTCAAAATTCATCCTTACACCAAATTATATGATTACATGTATCATTTAGGTTAAAATTAACACCTGTGCTTTGAAACAGAATGTATTAACAATAGGTCACATTATATGTGTATTTAGGACAGTCCAATAATAATTGGTATATGAACATATCAATAAAAGTGTGCCTGGCAAGTTGTTTTGCTATTAGTTTCCTTTTATTGTGGCACACTTTACCCTTAGGGCCATGATGAGCTTTTGCCATCACTTGGCATATGTTGTCATTTGTCATCTGTGGTAAACTTTTCCAAAAATGTTCTCTGAAGAAACTTTTAACCCCATATAAACCAAACTCTCACACTTAGGGTGTCTAGATTATAGTTTATGAATTATATTATGGTTGTTCAATCAATATGGTATCCATGACTGAAAAAAGAACATTGGGTAGTTGTCTAATGTCTTTATAACCACAAAAGATCTGGAAAATCTGACTGAGGGGAAATATTCATATTGTTTAAGCTTCTATCCATTTGTATCAAAATTATCAGATGACTCCTTTAAAATTGCAAATATGACAGAATCCCTAAATTGACTCTTTATAGGAGTAATTGCCCTTACATGATGAAACTCAGGATTTTTGACCATAATCTTTAAAATTATAACAGATAAACAGAAACTATAAACAGCTCAAGTTATCAGAAATACAAGATCTACAAAAATGCATAATGACTTGAACCATTTACCTACTACATGTACTCAAAACTTTGACAAATTTAAGTGAGTGTGCCTTCTATCTTGAAAACTGTTAACAGCAAAACTGATTAGAAAGACATGATCTAAATATGCTAAATGACTGAAACATAATCCGTTTTTTTGGGGATTTATTGTCCTTATGTGGCTATTTGTGACAAATTCTAGCATTTTTATTTTGAAAACTATTATTGTGAAACAGCAAAACTGATCATGCTGATCAGCAATACAACATCTATAAAATTAAAAGGATTTTTTGTAAATATATTTTTTGTCCTGATTTTTATGTTTTACCAATATGGCATATTTTTACCAGATGATCGATTTAGGTTCCTTGATGCCTCTAGTTTCATTTAGCAAGACAAATTGCTGTATATAATTAGTATAGACCAGAGAGCATATTGATTTGTGATTTAAATCTGTTGTTGAACTGAAAAAATGATCCTTTGTTTCTCTTCTTTTCCTAGTTTTTTGCTTGGACATCTGTTACACATATCATTATTTTTATCAGACATGTATGTACATATGTAACTGAACTTTTATTTTTCTTTTTTTTTGTGATACATTTGTTTTTGTATTTCAAAGGTTCCCATAGTGCAAAACCATTCTTTCTTAAATTAGCAACAGTATCATATCTAACTACACTAACACTGATGAGACAAAAAATAGAAAATCTTTCATTAATTAAATCATTTTCTAACTTCTACATTATGTCAATGCATTTTCATTGTATAGAAGCAGACTTCATTTTTGTAGATCCTGCAACATTTATGTTGTGGAAGGGAGACATTGCGATTCTAGATTCTGTCGTCAGTGTTATCAACATTTAGGTTCATCCTGTGGTTAAAGTCTTTTTAGACATCAATAACTAGGTCAAACACTTATCGAATTTTATGAAATTTAGTTTTTTTATGACCAAAAGACAGCATTCAGCGCAAAAATGTTAAAATATTTGTTTTCATTTTTTCGTATTTTACTGATTAATAGGCTTAGACTGAATTTTTTAAAGATAACATTTTGATCAGTCTATTAACATGAGATAATGTCTGATGCAAAATTTAGAAATAGTTTTGTTCATTTTGAAAATGTTTTATTCATAAATGGACTTAGTTTTTTTTTGCAGTTAACATTTAGATACAATCTGGGATTAAATTTGTAAGACATCAATAACTTTGTCAAACTTTCATGGAATTGTATAAAACTTGGAACAGAAGCTTCTTCAAGATCAAGAAATAGCATCTGTAGAGCAAATTTGAATTATTTATGTATTTTGTCCATATTTTTACTCTTGTTTAAAAATTCTGATAGGGAACATATTTTTACTGATTAATTGAATTTTACTCTGATAGCAGTTAGACACAGAGTTCCACGGAACCCTTTACAAATTTGTTTCCATAATGATTGAGCAAGTATCCGTTGTGCATGGAGCAGACTAAAGAACTCTTTAACCTGACTACTCTTGGTGTGTAAAATAATTAACAATAAATGAATTGTTAAGTGAGGATGTAGTGGTATTTTCAGATGTATAGTTCATGCATCCACTCTCAGTACACTTCAGAACTTTAGTGATCTAGTTCTGTTTTTTTAGGGATAGTGATCCGGTGGCGGCTGCATTAACTAACTTCTTAAAAGCTTAATATTTCAGAAGGTAGAAGACCTGGATGCTTCATACTTTGTATATAGATGTCTGTCATATGTCCATTGTCCTTGACCTCATTTTCATGGTTCAGTGTCTACTTGAAAAAAAAGTTAAGATTTTTTGTAAAGTTAATTTCTGTCTTTTTATGAGTAATAGGATAACTATATTTGGTATGTGCGTACCTTGCAAGATCCACATACCTGTCAGACAGTTTTCACTTGACCTCGACTTCATTTCATGGATCAGTGAACAAGGTTAAGTTTTCGTGGTCAATTCCATATCTCAGATACTATAAGCAAAAATTCTACTATATTTGGTGTATGTAATGATTGTAAGTTGTACATGTCCAACTGGCAGGTGTCACCTGACCTTGACCTCATTTTCATGGTTCAGTGGTAAAAGTTAAGTTTTTGTGTTTTGGTCTGTATTTCTTATACTGTATGCAATAGGTCAACTATATTTGGTGTATGGAAATATTTTACGATGTACATGTCAGTCTGGCAGGTTTTATTTGACCTTGACCTCATTTTCACGGTTCATTGCTCAATATTAAGTTTTTGTGTTTTGGTCTGTTTTTCTATTACTGTATGAATTAGGTCAGCTAACTTTGTTTCTTAGAGACTATAAGCAATAGGTCAACTATATTTGATGCATGGAATGATTTTAAGGTGTACATGTATGTCTGGCAGGGTTCATCTGACCTTGACCCCTTTTTTATGGTTCATTGGTCAATATAAGATTTCCATCGTTTGGTCTGGTTGTTTTATACTATAAGCAATAAGTCATCTATATTCCTTGTATGGAATGATTGTATTAAAGGTTTACATGTATTTCCTGCTTGGTTTATCTGACCTTGACCTCATTTTCTTGGATCATAAATGTTAATGGGATACATGTAAAACTTTATATTTAGGACTATCAACATAAAATGGTCAGTATAGTAGGCGAGATATTTCAGTGTGTGCACTCTTGTCTACGATTATGATAATTGTCATCTGATTATGACAAAAATTAGAATTATTTTTAATGTATATCATGGTTATGAAAAAATTGAATTACACTCAAAAGCATCTACCAGAAAAAACTAATTGGATGCCAATAATTAAAATAAGGAGAACAGCCGTTCTGTTTTGACAGGTTTTACTATAACTCAATATCACACTTTTGTTCTTTAGGGTTTCTTCAGAAGAGCTTTACAAGATATTGGTGATCCTGCTAGGAAGAGATGTTTTTATGGGAAGAACTGTCAGATTACAGTCCTTACTCGCAACAGATGTCAGTACTGTCGTCTGCAAAAATGTTTACAACTGGGCATGTCAAGATCAGGTAATGTCATGGAACTGTCATCTAGAAATATTTGCTTTTCCCCATTATTTTCAGCTTCAGAGTTTAAGTTGAGGTTATGTAATAGGTACTATATATTATCTGCAAATATGTTTTCAATTGAGGTTATGTCATGGAAGCCATTTATATATACATTTATTGGAAAAGAAGGGGTATGGTTTAAAATTCCTAAATGTATATAAAACCAAGTGCAAAGAAACCATGCTTTTTTGTCTTGCCTGCAAGGAAAGCGGCAGTATGCGAGATATAGGGATTACTATCTGGCGGTTGCAGTGGCGGCGTTACCTATTTATATAAAGTTTTTTTATTGTTTTGCCTACAACGAATAGGTAACATGATTAGTCCTAGATTTACAAAGGAAAGATTATGACTTCAAACATGGACACATTTAACATTGATTCTTTTTGTATTTCAAGGCCCTACCCCCTAGGTCATGGTCCAGTGACTCTCAATCAATTAACAATTTTCAAAGTTAAGTTTTCTGAATAAGTTAGTTTGATATGAACTACTTATAATAGACAGTATTTTCTATAAAGTTACATTTCTGTCTGTACATCTCAGTTTGTTAACCATGTGACTTTGAATTAATTAGCAATTTTTGCTGTCCATCAGATTGTCTTTTTCTGAATTTTATGCCGACAGGCAAGACATATCACTGTGTCAACAGTTTATATATTTCATAAGGTAGAAGACCTGGATGCATTATAACGTGTATGCAGATACGTTATGTTATGAAGTTTCCATCTGCCATATGTCCATTGTCCATTTTCATGGTTCAGTGACTGCTTGAAAAAAAAATTGGGTTTTTTTGTCATATGAATTTCTCACTTATTATGAGTAAATAGGTTATCGATATTTGGTATATGGATTCCTTGTAACGTCTACATGTACATCAAACAGGGTTCACTCGACCTCATTTCATTGATCAGTTATCAAGGTTAAAGCTACGAGATTAGGTCCATTTCTGAGATACTGTAAGTAGTAGGTCAATTATATGTGGTGTATGAAATGATTGTAAGGGGAATGTGTCAGTTTGGCAGGTTTCATCTGACCTTGACCTCATTTTCATGCTTCATTGGTTTATGTTAAGTTTTTGTGTTTTGGTCTGTTTTTCAAGTACTATAAACAATAGACCAACTATATGTGTATGGAATAATTGTAAGGTTCACATGACTGTCTATCTGGTATCATATGACCTTGGCCTCATTTTCATGGTTCATGTTAAGTTTTTGTGTTTTCATTTGTTTTTATCGAATACTAATAACAATAGGACAGCTATATTTGGTGTATGGAATAATTGTAAATGTACATGTGTGTCTGGTAGGTGTCATCTGACCTTGACCTCATTGTCATGGATCATAAAAAATGTTAAGGTTATGTGATACTTGTAGTAAAACCTTTATCTTGAAGACTTTTAACATGAAGTCAATGGTCAGTAAAGCAGGGCGAGACATTTCAGCATGTGTACTCTTGTTAACTGTTTCCATATCACAGTCACAGTGAGATCTTCAGCACAGGGAAACAGCTCGCACTTTAGGTAGCACTCCACAGTTAGGTGTGTAGTTTCGCATTTTGGCCCCTGTGGATTTTTCAAATATGAGAGCTAGTGTGCAATAAAATTCATTTTTGGATAGCTGAGGATTAAAATAGCCTTCCTATTGGGTTTATATGAACATCAAGATTATGTAATGTATGTAATATAGGCTGTTTTCTGTATGACAGTCCGTATTTGCATATCCATACCATACATTGGTCCGGCAATTATTGTAATGTTTTTTTCCAACTTTTTGTCGCACGAACTTTGTAATTAAATTTTACGAAAAAATGAGGCGAAAGACACCCATTTTTTATTTGATTATTAGGAAGATTAATGTCAACAGTTTCTAAAAAGGTATCACTCATTGGCATTGAAATTCTAGTTTGATCCAAATTTTGGGGGGATATGTGACATTTTCACCCCCCTTTTTGCAATATTTTATGGTAATTAAATGCAGAATGTTGCCATGGATACACATAGAAGGAATTATATTTCACCCTTTTAACTTTTGAAAATCAAATCTATGGAAGATACTGATTACATACATATGCACATGTACAACACAAACAGTTAGGTTAATGTATTAGAAATCCAGGAATAGGAGATGATAAAATATTTTGTGGTTCATTTTTAATTTTATTTTCTAACTGTGGAGTGCTACCTTACTACAAGTTCAAGACTACCCTTGCACAGGTTTGAGCAGGATTTTTTACTAGAATTATGATGTATGATCAAATAGGAACACCTAAATATTGGGACCAGTGATTAATATACCTGTGTTTACTTATACATGTAAATGTTTATTATCATAAAAATAGTGGGTTTTTTAATAATTACTGTCTTTTCATCTTTTCATGGTTATTTCTCATCACAAAAGTGTCTCCAGCACTGTTTTTGATATCTTTTTGGGGTTCTGTAATGGTTTGATCACTTGCTAAATTAATGCTACATTCTCTGATGTCTTGGTTGTCAAAAATAACCCACTCCAAAGAATGAGATTGTCAATAAGAAATTTTGAATGTACAACTACATGTAATTTAAAGCTCACATCCAAACCTAGTTTTTTATTCTTAATACAATCTGTTCACCAAATACAGCTCAACCTGCTATAAAGGTCACCTCTATTAAGGGAAAACCTGTTTTAGCTCACCTGGCCAAAAGGCCAAGTGAGCTTTTCTCATCACTTGGTGTCCATCTTCGTCCATTAAGTTTTACAAAAATCTTCTCCTCTGAAACCACTGGGACAAATTTAACCAATTTGGCAACAATCATTATTGGGGTATCTAGTTTAAAAATTGTGTCCGATGACCCCGCCTGCCAACCAAGATGGCTGACATGGTAAAAAATAGAACATAGAGGATGCAAGTTTTGCCTATTATTTTGAAAACCGCTATTAATAGAGAAATTCTGACAGAAGCATAAATGTTCAGAACGTTGAGCTCTACTAGAGTCAAAATTGTCAGTTGACTTCTTTTAGGAGTTATTGCCCTCAAATAATGAATTTTTCCATTTTAAAAAAATTTCCCTATTATCTCGAAAGTTATTATACATAGACAGAAACCTTAAATAAAAAAAATGTAAGCAAGACAAGATCTACAAATAAGTTAACCATGACCATAATCGTCAGACAACACCTTATTAGAGTTATTGCCCTTTCATGACAATTCTACCAAATTTTTGCGTTTTTGCCTGATATCTTAAAATCTATGATAGATAGATAGAAACTTTAAAAAGCAAAAATGATCAGCAAAACAAAATCTACAAATAAGTCAAACATGACCAAAATCTTCAGACGACACTTGATTGAAGTAATTGCCCTTTAATGACCATTTTTTCCATTTTTTTTCCATTTTTGCCTATTATCTTGAAAACTGTAATATACAGATAAAAACTTTAAATAGCACAAATGATCAGCAAGACAAGATCTACAAATAAGCCACATGGTCAATATCTTCAGTCGACTTGTTATTGGAGCTATTGCCTTTAATGATATTTTTTTACATTTTTTTGCATTTTTTGCCATTTATCTTGAAAACAATAACAAATAGATAGAATCTTTAGAAAGGAAAAATTATCAACAGGATAAGATCTACAAATATGTCAACAAGACTGAAATTGTCAGTTAACTCTTGATAGAGTTGTTTCCCTTTTTAATAGAGATTTTTACTAATAAGTGGCCATTGTTAAAGATGCAGGTGAGCGACACAGGCTCTTTAGAGCCTTTAGTTTCAAGTCCCTCTGTATTAATACGTCAATTCATAGGTCACCTCTCTTATTAGTCAGTTTTCTCTAAATCAAAGGGTGACCTTCATATACAGGTTTGACTGAACACAATTAAATGTCACAGGTTTTTATGCTGTAAACTGAAAAGATGATGATTCCAAAAGTTTCAGTTTCTTTTGAACAATATAATGGTTATATTTTCATGAAATGACAACAGTCGTTTTCAAAAATTATTTTTTACACAGCAATAACTTTTCTCAAACAAACTGTAAATTTTTTTTATTATGAACATTTATGAAAAATGATTTTCATTGTAGCTGCTAAATTGGGAAGAAGATCCCGTAAAATGAGAGATATGATTAAGTGTATGGAAGATTCTGTGATGGAACAAGCTCTCCATGGTCTATTAAGTCTGAATCCAGACATTTCATCAGAAATTATGTCAACGGTTATGAAACAGAAAACAGAAGACACATCACAAGATAATAAATTATCACAGAAGTCTGACTCTCCACCGTTGGATTTGTCTCCCCCTACTCTGAGATCACCATCTCTATCAAATGATAGCCTGATGAACTCACTGAGTAGATCAAATTTGCCAACACCTTTAGGCTCAGTGAGTCATTCACCTGTAAATTCACCTGGTTTACCTGTACGAAATATAAGTAATCCCCCATCAAGTTTGCCATTAAATGTTGGACCTCCAAATCCATTTGCCAATCCTATGTTTATGTCACTAGGACAAGATATGATAACCTCTGCAATGTATTATGGTGCTCCACAACTTTTCAGTCAGCAAGGCTATACATCTCCAATCAATTTGGTGAAATCAGAAAGAAAAATTTCTGAAGACAGATCTCCAGTCAGAAGTCATGAACATCTGCTGTCAAAAAGTCAATATCTATCTGTTGATGCTATGAATGCTCCCAGGAATAGGTCATCAATAGATTCCGTTTCAGCAATGTCACATCAGTCATATGACAATGAAGATTTAGAGTCTCTCGATGCTATCAGTCGTAGGACGTCGTATGACTTCAGTGATGAAGAAATTCAAGTATTAAATTCTAGACATTTTCAAAATCAGATGGCTTTGGAACATTCAAACATTTCACAAATGAGAAGTAAAATTCCTGGTTCAAATTTTTTCAGAAAGCCTCAGTATCAAACATTGCAACACAGAGCAGGTGTTGAATCAGACAGACGTCCTCCTTCTCTGGAGAGTGGTGAAAACAGTCGCCCTTCTTCTGTGTGTTCTCAAAGGAATTCTCCATACCCAGGACGTCAAAACAATCCGTCTCCATTTCAAGGAACTGCAAATAATCCCTCACCATTCCCAGGAACTTCAAATAATCCATCTCCATTCCCAGGATCTTCAAACAATCCGTCTCCATTCCCAGGACCTTCAAACAATCCGTCTCCATTCCAAAGGAATGAATCAGTGAATAGGTCTTTAACATCACCATTAGTCATGAACTCGCCATCTCCATATCACATGGCACATGGTCAGCCAATGACATCACCTCCATTATTCAGCACAAGAACAAACATGTTGAAACAAAATATTACCGAGATATCAAGATCAGACAAAACTGTTCAGAAACAAGACAAGGGATGTGTGAGACAAAGTCCTGTGGCAGAGATGGATTCACATGATGATAGAAGAAAGTTCTTAAAAGTATCATATGAAAATTCTATGAAGGCACAAAAACCCAGAGAGACTGCAATTGTTAGTCCTACTGTGAAAGTTGAAGATGAAAGTCAGTTATCTGTTGCATTTTTAACATACAAAGTTCATCAGTCATTCCAAACAAATTTTCGATCTCGTGCTGATATCCAGGCCATGCAAGAGAAGGTTATAGAATTTAAACAGAGAAGTATGCTTGCAAAACAAGATGTGCAGTTGCTATTTCAGGTAATAACTTTAACCAAACCAATTTTACATGTTTTATGTGCATTTTGACAGCTATTGTCTCCTTCAGTGACGCTAAATTTGAAAATATTTGAAAATCAAAAACTTAAATTGGTAGGTGTAATTCCTTTTAATGAATTTTGCTGTCAGTCTGTTTTTGATTATACCAATATCTTAATATAATTTCCACTTATATTGTCATATTTATGGGAAAATTTAGAACCTAACACTTTCAAAAGAAGGGCAACAGTGATGACTTTATTGGAGCTGTCCAAGAGTAACATAAAAAAAAATCAATTGAATTACTGTAGTTGGTTTTAAACAAACAGCAGTTTGGTGAGACTTTTATTGACTGCAAAAGACTATGAAACATTGTTGAGTCTTTATGCAGATACTTGGTCACCTAGACCTACATTTTAGCTATTCTAGTTCTGTGTTATTGTCCAGGTCTATGAAATTACAAGTTGAAGTGAAATTAATCATTTGGTTAATAAACAAATCTTGAATGGTTATGAAGAATCAAACAAAATGAGGTCGTCATGAATACGGTTATAAGCATGGGAAATTGTGTTGAAGTTTTAAATTAAGTTTCATACCTACAGTAAACAATTTCGAGTCAGAGATAGTGATATTTTATGAATAGATACATTCTAGTTATATTTATGAAATATATGAAAATTATCTGCTTTTTATCTTTTCAGGATGAACTAGGTAGAATCTGCTCAGCTGGGGAAGTTTGTTGGCATGGATTCCAGAGTTTACTCAATACTACTATTCAGGATACAGTCACTTTTGCTAAGAAAATTCCAGGATTCTCTCGGCTTGAGCAAGAGGATCAAATTAGTTTGATCAAAGGAGGTTGTTTTGAGGTTAGTAATGATCAGTTTATCAAAATTCATGATATGCATATTTCATAAATTATAGAATTAATTAATTTGCTCTCATCCCAAATGGATCCCAAAGGTTAAGTAGTTTACAATTGTTGATCAATCCATTTGGAATACATTTAAGATATGTTTAAACAACACTAATCAGCAACTACAATATTCAACATGTAATCAAAGTAAATAATCATACATAATTAGTACAATCAAGTGCCATTGCTAATAAATTCCCTTTTTTAAACAAAAATATAGTCTTTGTCTCCTTTGCAATGACGGATTTAGGCATGCTGTTTTTAACATGGATAGTCTCAACAATTGTTTAAGTTTATGATAGGTTACACAGGATAGACATATCCCTGTATTATCAGTTTGATTGATTTGTCTTTTCAGGTTGCTTGCATTGTGCACTCTGTGTTTATAGACACAGAGACAGATGCTATGTTTGTTCCTGGTAAGAACTTCCTAGTAACAAGAAAGGATATGAAAGTTGGATTCCCATTGGGAGAACATTTTGTTGAATTGTTGTTTAATTTATGTGTACGTCTCAATGCCTACAATTTGGAGGATACAGAAAAAGCATTGTTTAGTGCTTTGGTGCTCATTTCTCCGGGTAAGTAGACAAATATTAAAAAGGCTTTAAAATCAGTTAGTCGGGAACCAAACAACATTATTTCATGAAAATAGACGTCTTGATTTAAGTAAGTCTTACTTCAGTTTGTATAAAGAGTTAGGCTTGAATCAGTATGGAAATTACTGATGAGGGCCTTGAGTAACCATCTCTGGACTGGTACACCAAAACAATTCATCCATAATCTGGTAAATAAACAGGCACATACTGCCCAAATAACTAATGAACAATTTTATATTTGAAAATACAGTTCAATGTCCTTGACGCTCAAATTTAAACTATTTCCAAGAAGGTAACTTTTAATTTCTTGATCGATAGACCAGCTTCATGGAAACTTGTAGAACAATATTGATTTGAAGGTTCTAAAGATGCAGGACAATAAAAAAAAAATACACTTATCTAATGAGATCTTTTTTTCACCAAGAAGTTTTCCATATACAGTATGCAGAATCAATTTAGAAATGTTTGCAACTTTTATTTGATGCTTAGGGACACAGAAGTAACCAAATTTACTAATAGTTAAATTAAATTTTAAACTTTTCAGATCGTCAGGGTTTAAAGAAAAGGGACAATGTGAGTAAATTGCAAGAACTTTTGATACAGTCACTACAGAATCAAGTTACAACAAGCCATCCAGATTATGCTGGACTTTTTCCTCGATTGCTGATGAGTATCTCAAGTTTACGAGAACTTGGAGTAGAACATCGAAGAAAGTTAGAAAGTCTTAAACATAAAATGAAATTTGCCCATGACCTATATGCTGAAACTTTTGATCTTATAACATGATCATATGTGTATTGTCATTAAGTTCCTCGGTACATTGCACCAGTGACTGTCAAGGTTGATTGAAAACTTTTTAAACATACTATACTGAAATTAAAGCACATTTGTCCGCTTTCTGAGTGTGTACATACTGAAAAATTAAAAAAATCATTTTTCAAAACAGACAACACATTTCAAAATCGTCTCAATCTGTCTTTAAATTATTTTTTTATTTGACAAATTTTATATTTACATTATTTATTGAAAAGTAAATGATGGTCACTGGTGATTGATATGTGAGATGTTATTTGTTGTAGATGTTGTTAAGTTCTAGTTGTTTATTATTTATGTGTTTTGTTTCTTTTGTTTGCTTAAAGCATTTTAACATTGTTATAATTTTAATGTATGTAGTATGACTGTTTTTATAAAGTTCTAATGATCAATTTTCTATATTGAAAATTTTACTCTTTACAACTATTGCAATAAATAATTAGGCATGGTAGTACAATTTTATACTGTAAGATGATTTATTGAATATCAGCATTGTTACTGTTGGTTAGTGTGTAATATTTTCTATGAATTGCACACGGTGCAAAATGTGGCTTCCAAATCATGATGTTTTTTATGGATAAGTGTGATATTGTTATCATTTAAACAAATTGCTCTACAATGAAATGATAATTACATAAATATTGGTGTTATCCCTGATACTTTACTCTCTAATTTTTACGCTTGAACATATTAATTAAATATTCTGAAATATGGTTTTGACACTATTTTGAAAATATTAGAACAAAATGATACACTCAGAATTCACCATTTAAAATACCTTTCCTGAGTAATAAGATTTTAATGTACGGTAACATTACACAGGTGAAAATCTAAATTGTGCGACACATATTTAATCTTTTCTTACAATTTATATTTCCTAAATACTTTAGTTTAAGGTAGTTCACAGTGAAGTGGTCATATCAACTTGAAACTTAATACAAATTTTCAGTATGCTGTAAACTTTCTACGATATATGACAAATTAGGGTATTGACCCAGATTATGAGGTTCACTGAACATGGAAATGTGATAGTGAGGGCAAGGCATGGTGTCCTATGGACACATGTTTTTGTTTATTTTAATATTTTTTTGCTCATGTTGATCATATATTTCCCACATGTGAGGTTTCCATATGATTCAAATATATTGGCAAAAATTTGATTTTATATATTTCACAAACAATGAAGTTTTACCTGTGTACGAAATGTTTCTGATAAGGATATATGCAGCTCGAATTTTAATCTATAGATAGTGTAGAAAAAATTTCAATGCCAAAATATAGAAATGATCGTTACTTTGTTATAATGTTTTATGGAGTAATTTCAGCATATTTCCCTTTTAAACTAGTGCTAAAATATCTCCTTTATATTACACAGTCCTATGTTAATGACTGGTTATTTTATTATATCAAATCTCTGGATTCATATAAGTTTAAAATGTATAGTAGATGTTAATGTGATTCTTTCTTTCATCTGTTATCTAACTTATGTAATGTTGTCTATATAGGCAAAATGATGTGTGTTACTGGTTCTCAACAATCCACACTTCAAATTTTTTCTAGAATGAAATGTAATTGCTATAATTTTGATTGTATAACAGTCAGTCTCTATGACTGAAATTGAACCTGAAAATATTTTTTGGCTTTTCTCAGATTAGAAGTGGTTAATGCATTTTAGGGAATAAAAAATTAGCAATTTTTTTTATTTAACAGAAAGACAGTGGATAATTTCATAATGTAAATGTATTAAACTGAACAACAAATTATTTTACAATACATTTGCACTGGCTATTTCTAAATTGTTTGGGGCATTTGCCATTTACAGATCTGGTATTACCTATCGACTACTATACACATGATCATAAATGTTTTTGAATAAAATGGAAATTTTTCTACATGCATTTCTTACAAGATGGCATTACATGCTGTTCAATAGTTTATATGCCAAATCCATAATTCAGTGGTGGATCCAGGGGGGGGGGGGGGGTTCCTGGGGTTGGAACCCCCCTTTATTTTTGACGATCAATGCTTTTGAATGGGGACATATGGTTGGAACCCCCCTTTATCCTAGGTTGGAACCCCCTTTTAAAAATGACTGGATCCACCCCTGTAATTGACCCTGTATATAAGAGATTCATTAATATGAGTTGTTTCCCTCAGGAGGGACATAAATTTTGTATCTGTGCATAATGTGTGTAATCTTTAAGTTTTTTTTCAAATCTTTAAATTACATTTGATCTTTTGTTAAGCTAAAAGCTTTTGATATCAATAGTTGTTTTTTTATAAAAAATTAGTTAAAACACCACTTTAATTTCAACTTATCATGCTTTGCATTGGAAACAGCCCATTTTGTCCGTTTAGATCCAGGCTACATTTTTGCGAAGGGAAACAACTTATATTAAAACTTTGTAATAACAGAATCAGAACGATAGACAATTGTCCTTTCCATTAGTACCTAAACATTTTTTTAATGTCTTCCCCATGCTCGTTCACTAGGCTTAAGTTTTCACAATTCCCATATCAGGTCACATGTGTTAAAACTGAAATAATCATTCAGCTGCTGTCCACATTTGCCAAAAAGCTTTATATTGTAACTTGCAGCTTATATTTTGCATTATCTGTTAGCAGAAAACCCAATTATCATTACTTGCATTGAACAGTTCTAGAAATATGCAATAAAATAAGCAGAAACTTGTTTTAAGATGCAAAAATGAACAATATAGCTGCATTGAGATGAACATTTGTTTCACACTATTTAAAGTATTATTCAATATAGACTTGTTTACACTGAAGTCGACACCATCTTGTTATAAAGACACCTGATACACAGGCATTTGTCTCTGAAATTTTTTTACTTATGTAAGTAAATTTTTATTATAGTGACATGTGTTTTACAGTTTAACAAAATACAAATATGTTATAAAAACAATAAAATACACCCGACCCATTGGGTCTTTAAGTCACGTATGTAGGTAATTTTTTTCTAGAGACGAGTGCCTGTGACCTGATATATGATTTTTAACAACAAAAAATATAATTTTTTGAAATTTCAGAAAAATGTTTATATAACTCCTTACTGCTCATTTTGAAACATGGAACCATATTTTATGACCTTTGTATACTCCCTGGACAGTTATTTTGGAATTGAACTAACTGAAAATAAATCTATTCAATAGATTTTAGAATGTACTTTGATGATAGCTTTTTTATAGTATGAGACTCATGAGAAAGTGAATTTTTTTAGCATAATAAATAGTATTTTATGTTGCCAGATAAATCATGCAGATATTGTTAATTTATGAAATTGTTTCTGCGTTACTTCCTTCAAAGTGCTAATTTTGCATTGCTTCATTCTAAGTGCTATTATTGCATTGGTTTGTTCAAAGTGCTTTTTTTGCATTGCTTATTCAAAGTGGGGTTTTTATTTTTTGCATTGCTTTTTTTAAAGTGCTATCGTAACACAACCGCAAGCATTCTGTACTTCTGGCTTAGTGGTAAGGTTTGATATTATTTTATATTAATCTATTTTTCCCACACAAGTCTCTAATTATTTTTTCCAAGCTAATGAATCAAAAAAGTCAAGAGCAAATTTCAGTAAATGGTCATTTTATATTAGAAAGGCAGAACAAAGGATGCATTAAAAGAGGCATTTGTTGTCTCCTGAAAAATTGTAAAATTTCGAAATTCTTTCAAAATCATGTTAATTTTACTAATAAATGAGTATTCAGTATAATCTTGTTGCTAAAAATCAGATGTCAATTTTGAAATCTGTTGCTCTTATCCAAATATAATTGAAAAAATGAAAAAAACATGTACTTTGGTAGTTTATGAAATATATATGCAAATGCAAGAAGGTTGAAGGCCTAGAGGCTGAGCAAATTTTTAAGACAAAAATATTATTACAAATTTACTAGTTTCTGATATACTAATGTGAAAATCTGAGGAATGCTATTTAAGACAAGGATTTGAATTGCTTTGTGATTTTCAAATCCAAGGGGTCATGAAAGAGGCTTTATCATGCCTTCTGCTTTCAGAAAATTGAGATCCATTGGACATATTAAATATTTAAAACATGAATTTTTTGGCATTACAGATCAGAATTTGAGCACAGCAGAAGAGGGTTGAAACAAAAATATTTTTTATAAAATTCAATGTGTAGTTTGTTTGCAGTTATATTATTCGAAAATAATAGTACAAAAAGGTCTGATTTAGAATTTGGTGTAATATTTACAAAATGTTCTTTTACCACCATGTGGAAGAAAAAAGGATAAAAGGTCCTGGGAGTGGGTGAAAATGGAAAAATTATTTAAAAAATAATTATTAAACATGCTTTAAATCATACTGTAAGCCGTAGTATAACTATGCTTTTACTGATATATTTAATTTTTCTAAATAATAATACCCCTGTGGTTTACAGGTTGGCAGATAAAATTCATTGCAGGACAAACATACATATTGTCACATTATTTTGGGTTGTTTAATTGTAAAGTGTTTGTAGGTAAATGAAAAATTATATTTGAATGTTTTCACAAATAGTTCTCCTTGACATAAAAGTAAGACCCCCCAAAAATAGTGAACTTTGAACTGTATCTCAAGATGGTAAATCCATCAAGTTACCCTCTGCAAATAATTTACATATAATAAGAATAAATGTACATCTTTCATAATTTTTTTTAACTTTTGTTTCAAATTTATGGTTTCTTACATTCACATCATTTGGACTCAGGCAGATAGTTGTCTCATTGGCAATCATACCAAATCTCCTTATTTTTAAAGTGTCAGGAGCAAGACTGATTTATTAAATAGAACTTCTCTGGTGTATGTTGTGTTGTGCCCATTACTTGTTTTCTCCATTCTGTCTCATTTACTCAGTAAATCATTCAGTTTTTGTTTTTCATTACTTTAATGAGTTCTGCTTTTGGGCGAAAACATGTTCACAGGATACTTCTTGCTTATTACAATCTATTTAAAATTAGATCTCCACACTGGCTCACTTTTGTATGCTTGGTGGACACAAGATCTAATTTTAATTAGATTGTGCTTGGTAGCAGTTGTCACCAATTTACCTGAAATGCATTGATGTGTGATCTCTTATGTCGAATGCTGTTAAAATTGTCATATTTAGAAATAATAGTATTTGACAATATAATGTCACTTAAAACAATGAAGTTTCAGCAAATCTGTAAATAGATGAATTACTTTAATTGACTTTGTTACCTTGTCAAGTTCTGCAACTAACATATTAGAACAAATGTACATCTTTCAACATTTTTAATAACATTTCATTTGTTTATTATTATAAGTGCTTATTGTTTAATTGTGAAGTAGTAAATTTTGTTAAGTTTATTATTTATTTATTTTTGTCTTTGTTGAGCTAAAGAATAAAATAAATATTTATGGTCTTTTCTTGTTGAATGTAGACAAACACACTTGCTTACATACGCAATCTTGTTCGATAGTTTGACTGGTTTGTGGACTGTCAGTAAATTACTTCTTTTTGTTTTTATTTATTGATAGAAGTCAAACTATTAATGATTGTTATTGTACATTGAAGTAAACATGCTGTTAACCCAAGGTGTTTTTTTCAAGATGGCTTATTTCCAAGGTAGGCTTGGGTATAGAATCGACCAGACTTTACTCATCTTGCAGTAAATCCCATGATAAAAGAGGTTCTTTGTTCTCCCATCTCATAAAACCTACTTATTGTAATAATTGTTAATTTGCTTTAGTCCTAGTCCTGTAAATGAATGAAATATTTCCCACTGGGTGTTAAGTAAACAAAATCAATCTTATTCAAAGTCTCTGATGTGTAAGTCTTTTTTCTTGTTTCCTGTACCAAGTCAAGAATATGACAGTTGTTTTCATCTACTTCCGTTGGTTGATATCGTTTGATTTTGTCAGTTTTTATGGACTTCCCCTTTTTGAATTTACCTTGGAGTTCGGTACTTTTTCATTCCACCATTTGGTCAGTTTCTTGTAAATAAGAAGAGATTGAAGTCAGTATGACTGAACCCAACAACACAATGTCAAGTATTATTTACAACTATCCTTTTATTTGTGCAACTACAACTCGTTTGATATAAATTTAAGCATGCTTTACAAGCATGTATACAGCACAACTACTTTTGGCACAGGGGATATAGAAATAGGGGGTGTCCATCCATCCAGTCTTGAATGTGCTTTTACGCGTACAATTCTTGCTAGATTCATTTAAATTTTATATCAAAGGTTTGTCTCAGCAATGTCTCGAATGAATTCAAAAATCAGTTACGATCATACTCTGCATAACTTTTTTAAAGGAGATTTGACCCTTGGAATGTCTCTCCTTCCATTTGTGCGGTCTTGTAAGCACTCTCACATGATGCACTATTCCCACCAGATTTTTAAGAAATTTACATCAAACTTTTTATATTAGCAATGTCTTCAACAAGTTCAAAAATCTGTTTCAATCATCTATTTTTACAGGAGTTATGTCCCTCGGAAATGTTAACTCTATAGGAAACTGATCAACTACCTTTACAGGAACTATATCCATTTGAAATGTGATTTATATTGAGGATTACATTGTAAGCACTCTTACACCTTAATTTCTTGTTTGATTTTTATGAAATTTGAGTAAAGGTTTATTTCAGCAAGGTCTTGCATAAGTTATATAATCAGCAAAGATCGTCTATTTTTACAGGAGTTATGCTCCTTGGAAATTATATGGAAAATTGCATTTTACATTTCTTGTAGGATACATGTACTTTTGTGCATCCTTACAAAAACCTAGTTTTTATACTGTATTGACAAAACAAAAATTGTCCAACAGCTAGTTTATATTTTTGGACAAGGTGTAGTTATCATGATCTTATCATTGGTACAGTCACATAGACCTGTTTGCTTTCTATGAAACAGAGTATGATAAAAGTGATATGTCTGTAGTCAATGGTCATCTATGATACAGTCCCATCTATAGTTAGTATATGCATGCAGAGCACAACTTAACATACTGTCTGTTACCTTGACCAAGAAAGTTTTATTTGTGATATTAAATATGATATATGTGGGGTAAAAGTCAATGAGTCAACAATCCCAAAAAAACCAAGTTAAGCCAAAAAGACACCCACATGTCATCATTCAAGTACTCTCGGTCACTCTGGGGCATAATATATTGTTAGTATACTATTCTCAAAAGTACTTTCCCAATTTTAAAACTTTGAAAAAAGTAAAATAACAAAAATACCGAACTCCAAGGAAAATTCAAAGAGGAAAGTCCCTTATCAAATGGCAAAATCAAAAGTTCAAACACATCAAACGAATGGAAAACTGTCATAATCCTGACTTGGTACAGGCATTTCCTTAGGTAGAAAATGGTGGATTAAACCTGGTTTTATAGCTAGCTAAACATCTCACTTGTATGACAGTCGCATAAAATTCCATCAA